TGAGAGCTATTAATTCAACCCTCCTCTTGGTTACAGATCACACTAAGCTGTTCTGGCATGTTTGAAAAGTTGCCTGTGCCTTTCATTGCTCCTTCTGATGCACAAAAAACGATCTCCATGTGTTTTTGCTTCCTTCCCCCACCCTTCTCCCCTCCAGTTTTTTGCTTTAGAAAAAGGCTCTCCTGGCTTCTCTCTCTTCTGCTGAAGGAGTGGAGCTGAACAGTGACTTAACATAGGCTGAAATTTGAGCTGCAGCTTTCCAACTGAGTTAGAGAGGGGCATTGAGTCTGTCTGAGGGCTGGAAAGCTGAACCTCCGCTTCAGCCTATTGTGATACCACTATTCAACTTTCAGTCCTTCAGAGAATCCTCCAGCAAAACAGAGGGAAGGCAGACCCGAATATTTCTAGTGACTGTGTGGCGTGGGGGACAGAGCAGAAATGATACATTAGCATAGGGAGGGCTCATTAACTATCATAAGGAAGCAATAAAGGGCAGAGAGTTTGAACTTATTTACTTCATATTTGGCTCTTCAAGGGTTGGAGCAGCCCCAGGCCCGCTCTCTTTGGGCGGATGCTCTAGCTGGGAAAAATCTCGGAATTCATAAGGACGCCAGCGAAGTTGCAGGGAAGTTTTTCCTGAGACAATAGGTGCTTTTCAAAGACCTGCTCCTGTTTCCCATCAAAACAAGCACGATTTTTGTCAATAATTGCTGATATTGGTAACACTTGTTCTATAGGTGAAGCGTTGTCAAGTCGCCAGGCAAGTTAGCCACCCGAGACTCGCCGTAAGTAAAGGAGGTAGAGCCAAGCCCCAGCAATTGCACTGATTTATCGTGCAAGACCCTGGAGTTTGATTTCAAGAGCTGGTATGATACTCCTAAGCCAGGGCTTGGCAGGGAGTTTGGGTGTGGGAGGGGAAGGGCTGTGAATCTGTCTGCAACACCTAACTCCGACTGATCTTAGAGCAGTGATTGTGGTCTGCAGAGAAAGTCCTGCTAAGCTTAGCCAACGGACAAGTGCCGAGAGGTGGAACAGAGCAGAATGTGGGCAGCACGAGGTAGGAGGAGAAAAGGGATCCTTTACAAACAGCACAACCTGCCAGCCAGGAAGACAAGGCAGAGAGGGCTTTTTCAAGAAACTAGAAGATGGCAAGGAAAGAAAACAGCTGAGCTGCCTTGTTACTTTAGGAAAATTTTTGGGAGTAGCAGTGTACAAACTTCCCTTCCTATGTTCCTGAGAGATAACAAGGAAGGAATTGTAATAATTTATTTTTTCACAGGATCTTTGCTGTTTCAGAAGTGCAAAGGTTAAGTAAGTACAGTTTGACGTTTTGACATCCCATTTGAGCCAGGTCTTGTTCTGGCTTGGCTTGTTACAGGAAGAGGCCCTGCCTGTGTGTGCTAGGGAGGGTGACGGGATTGTAACAAGTGTATGGATGATGCCTTTCATCTTTCAGCTTATCTGAACTTATTAGTTTGTGTGCACAGCCAGTGTGTAATAGGAAGTCCGTATGATTGACAATGGTATTTTTCCAGATTTATAAGTACAAAAGTACTTCTTAATTGAGGGATCAACAGACTTCTGTCTTCCTGGTAGTTTGGCTAAGCATGTAGTTACTGTGGTGGGAGGGTGCCTTAAAAATACTGAAGGTAATCATAAAAATAAAGATCCTGAAACATGAATGAGGTGAAAGCAGTTCTGCTGCTTGCTGTGAATTTTAGCAAGTGGTTTGGATAGCAAGCTGGAAGTCACGCAGTGCACAGCAGCCCTGGAGACCTGAAAGCCACTGCTGTCACCAGCACCCCTCAGTGTCTCGCTCGGCTGTTGTGAATGTTTTTAATACCGTGCTGGATGCCGAGGTGCCTCTTACAGGACAGCATCAGCATTCCTGTGACAAGCTGTGCCTATGCAGCAGATCCTCTCACGGTTACCGAGGGAGAATTTCTGAGCTGTGCTTACACATAGATGAGGTGGGTCAGGCTCAGCCCTATAGTGAGCTCTGCTGAAGTCTCTGAGGTTACATCTGGGCTGAGTTTGCACTTTGCATTGAAGTATCTTCGTGTTCTTGCCTGGTCGCGGCCAAAGAAATTTATGTTGAAGTGTCACATTGTCCCTCCAGACCCTTAGCAGGGTGAGATGACATTCTCTCCAAGACACTGCATCGTGTCTTGTGCCGCTGCATCCCCATCCAGAACGGGCTGCTGTTAGTAGCTGGTGAATGATTCCCCTTTCCTACAGAGCCAAGTTCAACCTTTAGTTGTCACAAGCGCCTCCGAGAGCGAGCTGTCCAGGCAGAGAGAGGAGCTGCAGGGGATTTCTCTGCCAGCAGTACCTGCAGTGGTTGCCCCAGGAGTGGTCGGTGCCCCTTGGAGCTGTGCGGTGCAGGAGCGAGTAGGTCTTTGCCTGCAGAAAGTTGTTCTCTCGTCCTGTACCCTGCTCACATCTGTGGATTGTGCGGGGTCGGAGGCAGCCCCGTGTTCCTGGGACGTTGACAGCAGGTTAGATGGAGCCTCCTAAAGATGAACCTGAACGTGCTCTACTAAGGGATGTTTCTGGGCTGGAGAGTGCAGAAGTGATTTATTCAAGGTAAATGCACATTAAGGTTGAGAAGGTAGAGTCTTAAGAGCCAGGAAATTTGATACCTTGGTTTCCACAGTAACTGTGCAAGAGCCCTTATGCCCGTAAGTAGCTGTTATGTATGTATAATATATATGGGTACGCTTGGGATCCAATTTACAGCTAGAGTGGGATTTCATCATTTCTGGAGGGAGATGGGGGGAGTAGATGTGGGGAATGGTTGCTCTGAATGTATTTTTTTAATTGAAGAAGGGAGAAAAACCTGAGAGCTGTGATTTATGACCAGTCTTGTAAACACTTTTTCAAATTTTCCTGCCTCCTGAGCTCTTGCGAATGCGATCATGCCTGACAGAACCGGTTCCTAATGGAAACTCAAAAAATAGGTATATGTTATGACCATGAATTTCCAGAAATGCAGCCAGCCAATGCCCAGGCAGCAAAGATTTGGATGACTGCTGTGGTTTTACATGTGAATTACACCAGCCATGCTAAACCTGTGAAATTAAAATGAGAGCAAGCTGCTTAAACTGTGGGTTCAGTTCTGCCCTCCCTGACCCAGGCACAACACCAGCGAGAAGCCACAGGGACTTGA